TTGAAGGTACACACAACAGGACTGTGGAGTCCCAAATTAAGTCCTACCTACACATTACATTGACATTGTAAAACAATAGACAGGTTACAAACTTTAACAAAATTACAACACACGATCAATGCGTTCCAAACCATCCTTATACTTTCCTAAGTTAATATAAACTAGACATGGACCGCCCATATATTGCAGTCCTTTCTAAGTCGACTACCTTAAAGAGAAGAAACCTGAAAATTGCAAAAGTTTGGGAAATGACCAAGTTACAAAAAAGTTTTATACATATAAATGTATCAACATTGTACAGCGCTGACACAGTGACAGTTGGTAGTCACGCATTGTTACAGGGGACATATCAAGTCCAGATTACCAAAATAAAAGTTTGATAAGTGTTTCAACTTAAAGAAAATACATGATAGTGTTTGGAAAGCTTTCAGAACAGCTAACCAAGATCACGTGACTGCCAACTCTCATTCACTCTCATCCATTGAACTATATAAAATAAACTGGAAGGGCTAACTGCTATGATGAAGGCCTATGATTTGATGAAGCCAAAATAGTTTTTCTGAGTTATGAGCGGAAATACTTGACCCCAAACGTCGGGCTATATATCAAATTGAAGCTATTGAAAATTGCTATTCGGTGTGGAAATTTTGAGACTTCAGCGAAAAGAAAAATATTTAAAAAATACAAAAACAACTGCAAAACGGCAAATTATCGGTAATTATGTTTGTAGTTTTTCAATATTTCCCTTTTAGCTAAAGTCTTGAAATTTCTACACCAAATATTTCAATAGCTTCAATTTGATATATAGCTCAACGTTCAGTGTTGAGTATTTCTGCTCATAACTCAGAAAAACTAAAATGCACTGACTTTAATCCCCCCCTCCCTGAGTTAGCCTTCCAGTTTATTTATAGTTCAATGCTCTCATCCTCGTTTGATCCGGGGCTTAACTAATATGTCTTTAATAAACGTAACACATCTTTAAAGATGATGTCCACTCCTGTGCACATGCGCGAACTTTGTTTACGTTTTGAACTGCCATATTTGTAAAATATGATATACTAACTGAATATCTAACACTTTTCTGGTTCGCTATACTTGTAAATGAATATAAACCGTTTCAATTCAAAATAGTTTGAAAGATGCAAAATTTGGGCAATGTTCATATCTGGGGGTCGGGGGTCCCCCTTTGTTATGAGCAGAACTGATGCGCAGAACGGAGTGGACATCATCTTTAAGCAATCATTTCGAGATCTTCACAGTTGGAGGAAGAATACATAATGAATTTATATATTTTTTCTTTGCTATTTAGTGTGGAACATGGTTCTATATATTATGAGGATATCATTAGACTTAGCGTTGATTGAATATCGACAGGAGGGTTATGCTGTGGAATGAATTTAACATACAAAGGTAATGGAAAGCAGGAGGGACAGAATAAGAGAAATTATAAACAGACAACTGAAAAGCCTTTGCAAAGAATTACGAAGTACATCTAGCTCCATTTAATCCGAAACAAGAAATCAAGGGGATAGTTCGCTGAATTCATCTACAGTACTACAATTATACAAATCGTTCATCCTTGTGATTATAAAGAATCATAAGACCGGTTCGTTCATCTTTCTAGGATTTTCATGGACTATTCCAAGAAAGAAGCATGGCCTCAAGATGACACAGCGATTTTGCACAGATTCAATTTAGAGCTAAACGGTAGATAGACAATATTTAAAGACATTTTCATATTTTTTTATAAATGTTTGTATGTGTAATATATGTATCTGACAGTGATCTACAGTGGTGAATATATAGTGTGTTGGTCTGGCGGAGGGAGGGGAGGGGGGGGGGTGGGGTTGACTCCCCGACAAACGGTAGGCTTTTATTTTATTTTACATGCGACCACTATTGAAAAGGCTACTTTTCAAAGAAAATTTTGCATTTAATATGCGGATAAACACTTGCTTATAGACAAAAATAAATTTAAGACTATTTACCGTGATATTTTTTGAACTGCATAGTGGATTTTAATATAAATAAACTATTCAGCCGAGTCAGATTTTTAAAATTATCCCGTTACGTGAACGGATATAAAACGCAAAGTATACTTTCAATACATTCCATGCTAGCATTGCATTACTATTGTAGCTGTCTAAAACGTCTTTCATAAGGAATCTGCCCACTCTTTGTTAATATTTGAAATATTCTATGGAAAACGCAATATTTATATCTAATTAGCGCCTGTCAAAGTTACCTTTTGTCACACGACATGGTATGTATAAACTTTACAGCGAATTAATTCCTATTTGTTTGACGACTATTCCAAATATTACAAATAGCGCCTCGTTTCCGTGATTGAGATTTGAAACGTTGGTTTTAGAGTCCTTAATTCCTGTTACTGATATTGACACGTTGGTTTTAGAGTCCTTAATTCATGTTACTGATATTGACACGTTGGTTTTAGAGTCCTTAATTCATGTTACTGATATTGACACGTTGGTTTTAGAGTCCTTATAGCTAGAGTCCTTAAGGCAAAAAAAAAATATGTGGGTTTCCGGTTTCCCGACCCTACCTAGCTTTTGGACGTCGAAATCCCGACCCTAAACTTTTTTATTGGATCATGTTTGTAAGTGTTTCCACTTAGAGGAAAAAGTTTGTGGAAAATTGAAATTTGAGGCAATATTAGGGAAATTTATCTTTGCATGTGGAAGCACTGACTAAACAAAATGGCGTCCGCTTATTCGGAAAATTAAAAAAAAAGTTAAAAAAAAAGTTAAAACCGACCTACCCTACCTAAGTTTTTATAAGAAGAAACCGGAAACCCACATTTTTTTTGCCTAATTCCTATCACTGATATTGACACGTTGGCTTTAGAGTCCTTAATTCCTGTTACTGATATTGACACGTTGGTTTTAGAGTCCTTAATTCCGGTTAAATTCATTCCACGGCATACCCCGATACCCATTAACAGATCTTTCATTATATACTGATATAACTGTATAGTTTTGTAAATATGTCATATGTAACAAGACAAAGGGCTCAAAACCAAATATCTCAATCACAGAAAAGGAAGCTCTATAGCCGAGACTTAAGAGTGGTGTATTGCGAAACATGTACTACTTAACTTCAAACATTTGGTACAGTACAACACGCACGCACAAGTATTCTACATAGCACCATCTCTTGACAGAGCAGGCGAGCAACGTGACCATTAATACAGCAGGCTTGTTACACCCTGTCCATTTACAATCGAGCGATCTAATCATCTTCAATTCTTATATGTGGGTTTGCCATTGGATCCAGTAGTGGATCGCTATTGGCTGATATTCTACCCACTCTGGTCATCATCACAATTAATGTAATGGCGACAAGAATGACTAGAAACACAATAATTGCAGTTCTCTTTAATGGACTGTTTGAATCTTCTTTCACAGCTCGGTTTTGTTTTCGTAATCTATGAGTGACAAAGATTCTTGTTAACCCATCGAATCGGGCTCATCAGAACACAATGCGACTCAAAATTCAAAGATTCAAGATTCAAAGATTTATTTGTACTATTGTTGGCACAAATAAATCTTTGAATCTTGAGTCGCATTGTGCTCTGATGAGCCCTACTTTATTATTTTACTCTGTCTAACACCAGACAATTTTAATCATCAAGGGGAGAGCGCTGGTGTAGGACTGTTCGGTATACCGATATACCGAAAATATCGGTATTAAATCAATATCGGTATATCGATACCGGATATTCAACCATACCGATTTACCGAAATTTCGGATATACCGGAATTTTTCGGTATACCGTGTTAAATTTACCAACTATATGGCGAAACCATAACCTTTATTTTACTACTGAATGGCAATTCAAAGAACTTTCTACTGCAATGATTTAGAATTTCCACTTCAGTGAGATTTTACACTGAGTACATGCATGTCGTTCGAAACATGTTCGAAACAGCTTCGAAATTATCGTTTTCCCCTTTAGAATTACTCAAAATTTCCTTCAAACTTCCATTAAAGAATTTTCCTTTATAATTATCAAAGGAAAACCGGTATACCGATAATATCGTTATAATTTTTTCGGTATACCAATGCCAGAAATTTCTCATACCCAACATTCCTACGCTGGTGCTTAATGGGTTAAAGACCCCACAAACTTCTTAGCTTTCAATACCATTGTGTTTAAATTAAGTCATTATTATTATTATATTATCGAAATGTTTACAAATGTTAATCGTAATTATTGTTATTGTTAATGACCATCGTGGGTTTTAATTTTAGCTAAATCAGTTATATCGAATTTTTTGGTTCAATTTGATTAATGTTCTAACAAAACAAAGCACTAACGACATATTGGCAACGAAGGAGACAGTTCTGAGTTGACAAATGGTATTTATCCTACAGTAGATAATTTTTTTAATGAGATAGAGATAACATGTGATATATTTACAACTTACCCAAACCATCGAGAAAACCACTGCACAGCACCTCTTCTCTTATACTTATCCACATCATGATCTTTGGATGCAGTGTCAACGTCTTGTTCTCGAGTGTCAAATATTTTTCTGGATACTGTACCTAAAAATATCGTAATGCAGGTTTAAAACTGGATCTGTAAATAATTCTACATTCACACACATATGTACATAGGTACATTAAATACAAAATTATTTGGTTAGATCTGTTTACTAATAATGTGTATCTGTTGAGGTAATTAGTACTTATATAAAATTTAGAAAGTAATCAACTTGAATGTGACCTTTACATGTAGATACTGTATAACTGTAGTTATTTTTAACAGACAATATATTGATCTGCTGTGTTTATACACAGGCAAATTATCAGAAAAACTATGCAACATGTATAGTTTTTAGTCAAGATAGATCATCTGTGTTTAGTGTAGATCAGGCGTGCTATTAGTCAAAATGCTAGTAAAATAACTCAACATTACCAGTGCCGTGTTTTTCCATGCGTGTATATGTCGCTTGAGGTGAGGGTGCCGCAGCGGCAGTCTGTTGCGATTCAGGTCGGATATCCACAACATGTTGTTTAGGTGTGAACGCTGGTGTCGGAGCTTCTCCTTCATACAGGGGGGTCGAGGTTCTTGTTATAGTTGATGTTGTATTGTGTTGAGCTGCATTCTGCACTTGGTTTCTTAACTCTAAATTTCAATGATTGTGGAGCATTGAGCACAGAAACAAACACGAGATGCACATTCAAAACAATTAAAAATATGTACCCATACCTTTATGATTCCCAGTATGTTCTACTGCAGCTCTGTCATTCTGTGGAGTACCAGCCTGAAAGTAATGATCTATTGTCAACTACCATTGCAGGGTGCAAATTACTGGTATACAAACATTTTTTTTACGAAAAAGCAGTTTTGTAGGCCTATAATGGGCTACACTGTTTGAAAATAATGGTTACAAGCAGTGGTGGAAATTCACTTTTTCCGGTAGGGGGGGGGGGGGCAAAGCCTCCTAAATTTCCAACAAAACCTTCAAATTTCCAACAACCCCCCCCCATTTGCATTAGAAAAGGTTATTTTTAGCCCTCCCTTAGGTCAAAATTCGGCAATTTTCTGTAAACGCGGGGGGGGCGGAGCCCCCCCCGCTTCACCAAGATTTCTGCCACTGGTTACAAGAACAGAATTCTTATTCACATCCTGCAGTGCTGTTATCAGAGATTACTTAATGGGTACAATGGTCAGCAACAGTATGGAGTGTACTCTCAGATGTAGTTCTTAACACTTGTATGGCTGATTTGTAGGAACCATGAAAGGTACTTACGAGGGGTAAACCAAGACCAGTCCTTGCCCAGTTTACGTTGATAAGTTTCTTTTTCAGAGCTTCAGCAACAGGAGACACCAGATTGCTTGGTGGAAAAACACAAACCTAATAAATATCACATATATAGAACACAAATTAGAATAAAAAGAATCTATGATACTATCGCCTATACGTATGATGAAAATCCTAACTAGTACATTACATACACAAAAACAAACAATAACCTTGCAATTAGGACATGTATATCCAGCCGGTGCTGTATTTGGTGGAAGACTTGATGCAAATCTATTTAAACAATCCCAATGAAACACATCTATAGAATCAGGAAGAAAATTATGATCAATGTCATTACTGAACGATACACAACAATTAACCAAATATGAGTGTACGTTGTAATTTTACAATATACTAAGTGTAATTTGTTTATTTATTTATCTATTACACTTTGCCTCAACAGGCTTGGAAACTGCAACATGCAGCTACGGCCATTTACTGCAGGCCATTATAATACATTAAGTTAAATATCAACAAACAATATTCATGAATTACCAACAACACATACAGACATTAACAACATTAAGACATACAGACATGTGGTTTGTAGTTTGTGTCTGAACTGCTGTACCTGAAAAGAATCTTAACATTTTGGCATTAATTAACATTTCATGCATAAACCATGGTAGGTTATTCTAATACTACCTATACTGGATCTCATCCGATATATTTTTTCATGTAGCTTCTACACAAATGACGGCAGCTTAATTTATCAAAACGTACCGTAACATGTCAACCTCACAGTATCACCATTGGACAGATTACCATTACACAAAGTACATACAGGGTTATAATCACTATCTTGTAACCAATGCAGGTAGGACTTCACAATACACTGAAAAAAACACATACATTAACCCATTGAGCCACAATGCGCCCCAGTGCGCCCTACTTATTTTTTTCGCTTGTCTAATGCCAGATGATTTTACTAGGGATGGGCGATACCAGGTTTTTCTTTCGATACGATTTTTCCTCGATATTTGCCGTTTATTATCGATATCGATACCGATATTTTCCCAACTTGAACAACCATAACAACAAAAAGATTATTTTTAATCATTAACAACGGCAACAATGCTAACAATATAAACATTGAATAATATATGTCAGTGATTGCAACCAACATAACCAGAAACTTCCACCCTGCCGTGCACCTGTCTTAAAATGTATATATATATATACTCACTTGGATTACAAACCCTAAGAACAGCATTCAAATATTTATAGTATTTACACCTATTTAGGCTTTTTGGTATCATTTTCATGATGATGCCGCTGACTAAAATGAAAAAGTATCGCAGGCGCAGAAATATCGAAACATCGATATTTCTTGCCAGTATCGATACTTTTCTTCAAAACCCTGGTATCGATAGTATCGAGTATTTGGTATCGATATTGGCCCATCCCTAGATTTTACTTGTCAACGGGGAAGCTCTGCAGCTTAATGGTTACCCAAAAAATCTGACAATGTCTCTAGTTAACCCATTGAGCCGCAGTGCGCCCACTTATTTTTTTCACTTGTCTAACACCAGACGATTTTACTTGTCAATGGGGAAGCTCTGCAGCTTAATGGGTTATTAACCAATAACATAAACCCTTACATTTTACTATGATTATTTTCAAGTGCAAAAATGGCACACAATTCCAAAAGTCTAACTTTTATCTAAGTATTCCATACAGGTTATGGCATTAATATGTGGACTGTTAGTGATACAATTAATACCAGACTGTTATCTTTGCAAATGGTAATATTTTTGGGTGTGAATATATTTTAAAGACAACCAATATTGCTAGACAGCCTTTCAAGGTTGTCAGATGAGTTCATCCTGCTGGCTAGTCTAGCTTACTCAATTTGCTGAAATAGGTATAGAATTTGCAGAATATAAATTGCATAAATAATCAACAATGTTTTCTTAATAAATAAATGGAAAATAACAAATATTAACCATGTGCAAGTCTTAATTGTCAATACTTAATAATTGTCACATACTTATACTTCTTCACACTTTCCTTCTGTTCACAGTGCGAATTAAGCAAACAAAACATTTGAACCATGCATGACACACAGTGTTTTATAGTTTTGCCATGGATGTGGATGATCTCACAAGAAATAGCGCGGAGATGTTCTCCACACACTACAAAGATTCCAGTCAGACTGTATCAATTCCAAATACTGTCACAATATCAAAACACTATTTATAAAATTATTAAAATATTATATACAAGAAACGAATAAGTAACTGATGACTTTATAGTTTTAATAGCTAACTAAACTTTATATTTATAGAATAACAAGTGATGCTGTTTTAACTTGTCTTTGTAATATTTCTCATTTTTCCTCACTCCTATTCACTACTCAGTGATACTCACCCTCGAATGTCCAGAAACTAGGCAATGTTCGCAGACATTTACGCGATGTTCGAAGCAAAATTGATTCGTTACTTTCTTCTTAGGACATTTACACAAACCCATGTTAAAAATAATGAAGATTTCATGCAGAAAAAATGAGAAATTTCAACAAAAATTTACAACTGTGCCACGTCGGTTATCCGTCAGCCATGATTGTTTTACTTGTTCCCAGGACTATCGAAGCACACGGGCAATTTCCGGATATCCAATAAAATATATTTATTTTAATTTATTGATGATTATTATCGATCAATCCGCAATGCAATTACAAATATGAGTACTTGAAATACGATAAATATGAAAGTACTGGCCTTCCAGAGTTCCAGTGCGTAATACAGTATAAAACATCCGTCTAATGAAGACCATTGAAGGTCTTCTGAACAGCTGCACATTGACTTCACTCGGCAGAAATCAAACCAACGGGGCCAACGGCACTGCGATTTCGGTGTAGCGTTCTGACTTCTGAGCACTCAGCTACGTACAACCACGGTTTATTGTTAACTCATTTAGCTAGCAATGCGCACACCTTCGCTGATATGCCGTGTTGCTGCGCAAAAGTCGCAAAACGTACCGGCACTGTAAAGTTCGAGCAGTAAAAAGAACAGCACCATGATAGACCACTTTCATATATAATAAAGACGATTTCAGGTGCATCTGAATAAGCCTTCTTGACCTCGTTCTGGTTCTAAAATTCTGTTCTACAGACGTAAAAACGCACAAGTTGTTACAGGTCTGCAAACAAGTTGTCACGAATCTGTTCACAAGCTGTCAACAAGTTGTGTTCGCACTGCTTGTTCCCAGTTGTTGTAACAAGTTTGGAACAAGCCATTAACAACTTGGAACAAGCTTGATGGCATTATCCGACTTGTAGCAAGGTTGTTCTAACATGTCTGATACAGTCATGATACAACAAGAATGTTACCATCAACATGGTTGTTACAAGTTGTCAACAACTTCGTTGACAACTTGGGACAAGCAGTGCAAACACAACCGGTAGTGTTGGCAGACTTGTTACAAGATGTGAGATTTTTGCGTGTGTAAAATTCTATTCAATTTGAATTTCAGTACGAAGAAGTAAGAATTTCAGTACACAGAAACGAAGCCAAGCAGGCTTGCTAAGACACACACACAAAAGAATATTAATATACCCGGCTCTATTATAAAAAGATTAAAAGTAGTCTATACTTCTAACAAACTTTCTCAACAAATGTAAGTTTTTTTGAATTTGAAGTTCTGCCAACTGACGAAGTGCAAAAGCATAAAAATGAATTCTTTAATTTATAAATAAAACGACTATTGTGCTATATATACATTAAAATGACTTTTCAAGATTTTACTTTTGTTAAAAAGACTTGTATTCTTTTCAGAATGTTAGCTTGAGAAATTTAACTTATATATCAACTTAATAACTTGTGTGTGACTTCCAACTTCCAGCAGAGAAAAACACACTCGACGAATAACAAAGGTAAACCATCCTCATGGGCCACATTTGACATTTGCTTTGGCATTTTTTGAAATAAATATAACTGTACACGTGGAACTCGTTATTCAAGTCTCCTTGCAATATATCATACTGCATAGTTTAAAATGGCAGCAAGTATTGAAATAAATATAATTAAAATGTTTTTAGATAAACTACTAGCGCTGCCCGAAAGTTCATGCCGACATTTCAACCAGTAAGCGTTGGTCATCATGGGCTCTGTTTGAGTAGTCCGGATATCCAAGTTATCAAAGATCCAGAATCCATTCCGTTTGAAAAAATACGTTCTTCCGTTGATCCAGGTCATAGCAGAGTCCAGGTTATTTGGTACACCCACCCAGGAGTCGTTTATCTTGGCGGGATAACCCATATCCATCATACCTAATGCTTCGTTGTATCGCCAGTAGTGGTCCCCTGAGAAAAGATAGGTCTTGCCATTTGCTCCCCACACAAATGCTGCATCGATGCTTGCAACTGAAGAATCAAGTTTCTTGAATTGTTTAGAGATGGCTACAGGCCCTGATAGGTACTGCGTTCCATTGTACACCCAGCAACTATAACAGAGGGAGTGGACAATTAAAAACGATTCAGTTATTCTCAAGTTTTAACGTTCACACATCAAGCTTTTTAGGTAGTATTTATAACAAAAAATATCGTGTATATACTGAAGCAAGAAACGTACTAGACTTGCAGAGATGAATTTAAATTATAGAGCTATGAAGTGTGTAAAACAGTTCCCTCAAACATTTCTTACAAATCCTTCAAAACTTAGAATTTACCGATGCAAAATTCCTACTGTGATCACAGAAATTTTGATAGACAGTGTAAACCAGTTCGTTTGGTATTGAATCACAAGACTTACTTTTTGCCTTTGAAGAACATAGTTTTGCCCTCAGATTGATACGCGGCATCAATGCCTTCAGCTGGCAGTTTTGGCCAATTCTGTTTTATGGCGAAAGCTCCTTCACGTTTTCCAGACTCCTGAACAATCCAGAAATATTTGCCAGAAAAGAAATAAGTAATTTTGTTCGCATCAGCAAACACTGCGTCGAATGATGGCACGGAGCATGAGTGTGGCATTCCTGAAGGAAGCTTAAGATTGGTTTTGGTTGGAACAGCTTCGGGTGCCCCTGTTTCGACTTTTATTGCTGGCATGCCTAAAGGGAGGAAAGATCATGTTAATTGACTTGTATACACACGCTGCCTGGTAGTAAATACTCTTGAATGTGGGCCACTTAAACTTGATCTCATGTTGTACAGAACTCACTGCATAAGTTACACGTGGTTAGATAATACAGAGGGAGCTAGTTGGACATTATTGTGACTTAAGGGGATCTTTAAGGGCTCAGAACTAACTGCTGACTTGAGCATACTTAGATCATGTAGCACATGTTCTTGGTAAAACACTCGTTTAAGTAGAGCTACGTCTCTTCTGTGCTCTTTTATACGTTAACCAGCTGAAGAAAGAGACTAAACTGGCATGCAAGCCTTGTCGCCGTTTCCCTCCTTAAAATATTTTGCTAATATTTCGCCAAGCTATTCTTACCGTAGAGATAATGAATTCCTTGAACATCGTCTTCATTAAGACGTAAGTTTTCTTTAAAGCCAGTATAAAATGGATACATGACTGCATCTTTGTAGTTCGAATGATCTAGTCCTAGGGCATGTCCTATTTCGTGAAGAGCAGTCCAGTAAAAATCAGTTCCTATTTTATCTTTAGTTAAAATCCAAGTTTCATCGTCATCAAAATGGACATCCCCCGAAAGTCCTGTACACAGAAAAGTCGACAAAGATATGAATGTTAGCAAACAAAGCATTTATTTACGTCTTAATATCATTTAGTTAAGAGTTTCACTACAGTTTTAACATGAAATGGTGTTCCTGAGGTTACTTTTTCAAAACTAAAAACTGCATTGAAAAGGAAGAGTTTGAATTGAAAGAATGTTACAACAAAATAATAGAATGGCCTGTTCACAAAATTAATTTTTGAACATTGAAAACAACATTGGCTACCAACCTTCATTATTATGTGGATAAAATCCATGAGCGAGGGTTCCACCAGCACCATCGAATGGATAACCATCATTGTGCATTCCAGATCGGAATCTCACGAGAATATCAGAGTTTGGATCTGTACTTTTAAAGAACTTTAACCTTGAGATACGTTCCCATTCTTTGAAAGCTTTTTCTACTTGTTTTTCAACTTCTGATTCAGAGATCGTGTTACTTGGTCCCCCCTCGATCATGTACGTTAGTTCCTGGAAAAGAAAGGGATTTGATGAAACCCGAGGCTTCGTGATACTAGGATCCTTAAATGCAGTGATTCACTCTTTGTATGTCACGGAAGTAATACTGGGTTTAAATTTAGTTATAACGATGTATGAAGGTAATGTTTTTTCAGTGGGGTCCTGCAATTGACATTTTTAAAAAGTCTGCTTTGTGACGTAGTTTGGCCAATCACGCAAGCCAAAAGGAAAGTAGTCACAAGGCAGGCTTTTTAAAAAGGTCTATTATAAATTACATCAGTACCTTACGTAAAACGTACATTATTTACAATACATAATAAATATATACATAATACAATTTACAGGAATTAATATATATATACTGTAGGCTATAGCAAGTGACATTTGAGGAGAAACAGGAAGTAAAGCGAAAGAGTAAAGAAAAGGAAACAGAATGAATCAGTGGATAAGAAAGGGATAAAGTTGAAGAAAACTACAGAAAGAAAGATTTGAAAACAGAATATAAAGAAAGGTCTACATGCTGTTATGTTTTAATTTAAAATGCAAACCCACCTTTTTCCGCCAGACAGTTCCCTGGACAGCATATCGTCTTTTTCTTTTAGTTCTATCGGATCTTCCAAAATCCGGCATTCCACATCTTGGCAATTCCATCATCTCCTTTGTTTTCTCATCAACAACACCAGTCATCGGAATACCAGCGTATAATTGAAACGTTTTAATCCCCTCACGTAATTCTTCATTGGTACGAAGTTGACCTGCCCGCGTGTCCGGCAAACTAAGGTAACCAAGCCTTGTTAGGTAGTTCTAAATTAAATGAAAGCAACACCATATCAGCATATTATCTATTAACACCTTCAGAACACCTTCAGCACTAAATTCTGAGAGGAGAATCTTTTGTATGTTACGTAATACGCACTCAAAATTAATGAGTAATAAATATACTTTTCCACTCAGTTATTGCTGTATAAATATGGCGTCAATTTTATAGCATCAATGATAATTGTATTTAACTATTATTTTGTAGCTTTCGTTTTTGTGACGTTGACATCGATCAATTTTCCAACTCAAATAAATCGGTAACCTGTAATCGAGAGCATCAGTTCACAGGCTAATAAATCGCGAAAATAAATTCAGGAAATATACCACATGACTATTGTGTGACTGTCAACACGTTCAACATTGCAATGCCAAGAAATAGACAATAGTAGCGAAGTACTCCAACGAAGGGTCAAGACATGAAAGTCACATGCACTGTCATTGGCACAGGTACAATACAACAGACACAACAGAAATCCACTCAACACTAGTTTCTTCTTAGTATTGTTCTTAACCAGACCGTGAGAGCAATTATACCATATCTATGAATTATACTCGACGCTTCTCAACAACAGGTTTCGCATTGTACGAGGTTTTAATTACTATAGAACAACTATAAAGAAAACAGGGAAAATTAATCGTCTTTTATACGCCTTTAGCTTGATAATCACGTTTCAATAAAAACAGGAAAATCTGCCATTGTTATTGACCGCAACTTGCATAAAGACATGAAAGTGATATAATGATATTGAGCAGCGTATTATGTTTCCGTATCTTACTCATAATTCATGAAAGTGTCAATGCACAGAATTGTAAAACTATTAAAATGGACATTGCGTACAGTGTTACGGACACATCAAGCATTCAAATGTGTAGCATATTATTACTAATTTGTAATTTTAATCTATTCTTTTTTAATGCAATATGAAAATGTTTTACATAGCAAACTAATTAAACAACTCAAAACAATATTGCAGTTTCATCCATTCGCTGTGACACATCATCGTTGAAATATAAAGTGGAAAGATCCTTGTGTACTTTTGCAAGACTGTTTTATGCAAATTATGCAAACACATTTCTTGAGAGAAGCAGAAACCGTGCCAGAATCAGCGCACGAAACAAAGTTAATTTGACCTTAATAACGAAACTAACATAAGTACATCCGTACATCCTGCCAAGAATATTTCTGACTTTCAATTCATTCCCTTGTGCAACATTATTCTACCGGCGGGGTTTCGAAATCTATCGTCTGCTTTCGAAACTGAAAAATGGTTAGGATAACAAATAATCACAAATCATAACATAAACGCCTCAGTAAAGGGTGTACATTTAGTTCAATTATGTCTATGACCAAGAAATGATGCAACGTTATAAAACTCCAATAAAGAATCGATATATTTCGCAACTTTGAAGCTACCGCTTGACTTTGTCCTTGGTGGTAAAACCATGAATATATCAACAAATACTTATCAAATAGCAATCTGTAGTCAAATACAAACATATTTATTATTTATTGTATATTTTATCAAAATATGAAGTGTAAACGACTAAAACGAGCATTCCTGTACACAGTTAACTACGATATAACGGCGAATATGAACATTTTGTGTGCTATAAAAATACGTTTTAACTTTTAATTATAAACCTGGTCCTTGCTCAATTGTTGTATATTCTGTTAAAATATTCAATGGCTCCGGCAATTTCTAGTAGACAAGTTTTATCCGGATCCGTCAAATATTCAAAACATATTCTAGAGTCTGGACTATCTGATCAATAGCTTAACAAATCACTTCGACTGAGAAATTGTACTAAAATATTTCGCCCTGTTTAAAGCAAAGATGTGACTGTATAACAACTGTAAATACCATATACTAACCACTGCAGTCACTTGATCGCGACTGGTAACTTTGTCACGTACTGGATTACCGTAGATAATCGTCCATAATATACAAGAATACAACACCAGCAAAACAAAGGATGTTTTACACGCCATTTTTAAACCGATATTCAACTCACAAGCTGTATTAATCACGGACAGAACACACAGGAACTTCAGTAGCTTAATTTATGTCGGATATGCCAAACCAAACTGATGTGTACATACTTTTAAGCTGCTAACACTCCCTGCTTGGAATTATTTCCTATTGCAAAGTCACTGTGACGGATGTATCGAATGAATATCGGATGTGGCGTACTTTACAATTTAAAAGTCAAATCAAATGCATAATATATATTAGCCAAGCGGTCAGCCCACGCTCAAGAGATCAAATCACATGATTTCTCAGCAGAGGATAAGCAAACTCAACGCCATATATGGAGTTTATTTTCAACAAGAAGTAAAAACTAAGTGTTTCTGGTTTTAATGAGACCATGAGGGTGATATATCTCACTAATCAAGCGTTTTTCTGGGCTTGTGTTTGGCAAAGATGTAGGTCGCCAGTTAAAAACTCATTAAACGTGCTGCAGTATCGCAAGACTGAACTTTCAAGAGACAAGAACATTCGCGGTGTTTCTATGATGTCAAACCAAGCCTTTTCTCTTGGAGTTGGTAGACCTAACCCACTCTCAAATATTTTTTCTGATCATTTCAAAACTTCAGAGAAGTAAACTCCTATTAATCCTAGATAAGATTTCTGAAGAATCATTTCCAAATCAGTTATAAACAAGTTGCCAGGAAGCTTGCTTTGAATTCCAGGTTAAACCTACTGTATATACAGTATATATAGCCTATATATAGGACCTTGTCAAAACATTAATTTTGTATACACCGTTTGAATCACTGTCGTTCTTGCATGTTTCATGGCTTCAGCGTCCCTGCACCTAACACTCTGAAACGAACCTATAAGCTTATGTTTTGGCAAACCTTTCGTGGTTTCAAAAAGGATGTCCGAAGAAGATTACCGCTCCGCTTCTCTTTCATCACCATGTTTAGGCATCTAGAATTTATTCAGTTGCATCTATAGTATTAAAATAAATAATTAAAAGATTTCTTTATATACATTAATACTATATTTATACTGATTATACTAATAAGTTCTATACTATAGCTAGGCGGGATTCAGGCTTCAGAACATGCTATATAACTGATATTTAACAAATATAAAACATTTTCCGTGTTGATATACAGTTATATCAACACGAGTGGAAATTGGGAAAACGAGAAATTGTATGGAAACACGACGCCCAAAGGGCGGAGTGTTTTCATACAATTTCGAGTTTTCCCAACTTCCACGAGTGTTGATATAACTATATATCAATGCGGAAAAAATGTTTTATATTTTTTTTATAATATAGCAATGTCAAAAGCCCGAAGGATAAGAAAAATTTCCGTGTTTACAAGCGGCGGAAAATTTCCCGTGTTGACATTGAGTTATATCAACACGGCTCTTAGCCAATCAGCGTTCAAAATTTACAAATGCTATATTATAATAACCAATCAAATGACAAATATGGTCCACAACACAAAATCGGCGATATGTGAGAAACTGATAAACTTTCACAGAACAATTTCTGAATTTTAGGCAAAAAATTGAAGCAGGAAGACCTTGGCCAGGAAGATGTCCTATATATGTGATGTGGAAGAAGGAACAGCCTACGTGCATGAATAGCATAGCAAATCTTTGTCATAAAAATAGTAAGGAAGTCGATCGCTAAATAACCACACCTCACAGGGCATGGATTGATAATATTGTGTTTAGGAAGGGGGCCAGGGGGAGGGGGAAGGATGCACAAATAGATCGCGCAGGTGAAACAGAAGCAAAAAAAAACCCCGTACACCAAGAAAGTTTGACCAAAACAATTCGTGCAGAGATGCATGCTAAGCAGCATTTGGCAATTGGCTTAACTAGTGAATTTATTTATAATTTTTTATAAATTAATATAACATTATAAAATTAGTAAGTTAAATTTTCTCGTCGGTGGGGGGGGGGGAGTTGCCCTGCCACGTTGGAGGAGTTAGGTTAACACTAAAAGGCGGAACGCTGGAACGTGGAACCCTAGAATGCTGGAACGTGGAATGCTATTTTTTACCTTTTTTGTCATTTATCAATATTTTGAGTTGATTTGCGGTTATAACTACGCGCTCGCATAGACAGCAATGAAGGAAACGTATTACAGCATTTCTGATATATTTGCGAATATTTCCCAGTCAAGAAAAAACAACAGAATTACGCAATAATTAGAAAGAAAGAAAGACGGGGTACAGTGGCGTAGGCCGAAGATGTTTAAAGATAGGAGGGTTCCGGGCTGAAATTCTGGGCTGGTTTTGTAGGGGGTTCGAGGGGGAATTGTGAGCTATACTGATTGTGTAGTCAGGGTCAGACAGGAAATGTAATCAGACTTCTCATTAAGGCTACGTCCCGGCCCCTCTCTTCATTACTAGATACCATTTTTTACCGTGTCGAGTTCTTATACTCTTGTCTATCTTCAGGTGATATCCTAAGATATTGATATCCTAAGATATTGATATCCTAAGATACTATTTGTTATATTCTGCCACTAAATTGATGGCATTAGAATAACAAATCAATGAGTCAAAATGATGATTAGCAATCAAACACAAAATCAACCGATTAAATAAACAACTAATCAAAAGTATACTAGTATACAAATTGAAGTATACAAAAATATTATTTAAATATTGTGAGGTTAAATAAATAACTAACTAAATTACAGAAATTAGAATATTTTTCTACATGCAGCCCTTAAGAACGAGAAAACGTTTAGATTAAATGTTTGTAATTGTTTTCCTATACAGTATATGTTGTTCTTTTTAGGCTAAGTGTAAAATTTCACATGTTTTTCACATGTATATTTTATATATCATATCGAAAATTAGATTTTTCAAAAGATTTCGAACGCCATCACTTTCAATACAAATTAATATATATTTACAGCACTATCTTTCATTAAAATATCGACACGTTTATATACACACAGAGTTTACTTTTTTTCTCTTTTTTTTACACACAAGTTTGTATTCCTTGTAATTTTTTATTAATTGTTCTGCGTGAAAACATCTTGCCAAAAGTGACAACAAAGGCGAAATATTCCATATAAAAATGTTTAAAACGTTCAAATTCACTCCTGTTGAGCTCAAAACGGTACTGGACGGCTCAAATGAAACAACGACCAATTATCAATAATTGAAAAGTGATGAAAAACTGGAGAGCAAAAGGATGAGAGGTGCAAACACAGTTGTTTTTAAGACGCCACTATCGTCCTTCTTTTTTGCATTAACGTCTGTCTCTTTTACAGCAACTTCGACTTTCTCATCGTCCTCACATTCTTGACATTTGAAGAAAAACTCTGAACTCTTCTGTGGTCGGTAAAGATGCCATTTACGGAATTCACATTTGGAGAAGTTGCGTCCATTAAAGAAGTACGTATTACCATCACTCCATGTCATAACAGCGTCAACACGATAACGCACAGCTCCAGAGATATTCTTGGGGTAGCCTGGATCGATTTTTTTCATTTGCTCGTTGTATCGCCAATATTTGTTTCCCTTGAAGAAATAGGTCTTGCCGTTTCCACCCCAAGTGAATGCTGCATCCAGACGCTTTAACGTTAACGGGAGGCCATATTCTGAGATATTTTTAGGACCTTCAATACGCGTTTTACCTTCGAAAACCCAATACCTAAAACATTTCGTTTTGTTAGTTATCAGTTCCTTACTCAAACTCATGTATGAGGAATTGAAATCTGTTTGGATAACTCTTAGATTTCTATTTGGATAACTCTTATATGAGTTCTAAACTAAAACTTCTGTATAGTACTACCCCTTATTGATCAAGTGTTACTAAAGAAGAAACATAAATTAAACTATAGATATCTTATATACACTAGATAGTGCATCTAATTATTCTACAATTCAAAAATTGAAGCCGTGATTGCAGACTCAGGATATTCCCATGAAATGAGAAGATTCGTACGTTTTCTATTTCTTAAACACGGAACTTAAATATTAAGGTAAACCTATTCCAAATACATTTTTAAACTATTCAAATGATGAAAGTTATTGTTGTTTTTTAAGCGTTTATTAGCGAGTGGGAAACACCAACATGGCCGCCATCTATTCAAATGGGGGTAACCGCTGGAATATTCTTGGCTTCAATTTTACTAAAAAAGATGCGCTATCTAGTGTATATATGATATCTATGAATTAAACTGACTAGATCTACGGTGGATATCAATATACGAGTTCTAAACTGTTCCCCCCTAAGGTCTAGCAAAAACCATGCATCTCTTCTACAAGAAGAATTCGGCGCTAGTACCCAGAGAAAACCCCCAAGTTCTGACATAGTCAAACTAGAAGCGCTCTCAGTCTCACATGGGGCGAAATTATAATGAAACAACTGCAAGAATTGAACTTTTGCCATGCACAAATCCCCCCAATAAATTTCAAAGCTTAAATCAGTAAAATATCTTACTTTCTTCCTTTAAAGAAGACAGTCTTTCCGTCACGTCTTGTATAAGCAGCCTGGACTCTAGGGTGAAGTCCTGGCCAATGATCCACAATTTTTTTTCCTCGTAGCGCCCTGTTGTATTTATCCAGCGTCCAGAAGTACGGTTTCTTAAAGAAGTACGTATTTCCGTCGCTGCTGTGGACGACCGCGTCAAATGATGTTTTACAAGGACTGGGATCACTGCATTTTAATGAGGGATCGATTGTTGGAGGAGTAGTGGGATCCTCTCTCTTTCCTAGAAATTTAGAAAACACAGTGTTAGAGAAAAATAATAAGAACAATGGTGTCAGTGACAATGGTGGTCAAATGGCAGTTATTATACAAGCAGAAAATAACATTAGAGTTAGATAAATAGATAGATACTGTATTAAGTTTATGAAATTGCAGCTAAAAAGTTGAATTGTGTACAAAATTTATATAATGTATGTTATTAAAATCCTATAGTAAGTATTCAAAAAACTGTTCTAAAACATATGTTTACTTGAATCGTTGAATGTGAATCTGTTTTTCAAGTCTACTGCATGGTTGGCACAACTACACAAGGAAACACTGAATTTACGCCTATTTCTTTGAATAAGTTAACGGTGGATTCATTGAGCTCGGGCAATAGATGATGTGGCTTTTGGAATTACAGCAAGTGTCCTCAGATAGCTTAGACTTCATTGTCAAATATATCATGTGATCATATAGCGAAGACAGGCCACAAATTAATTATTTTCATTATATGTAGTAGTCTTGTATTTCGATGTGAAGAAATAGAATTAATAGAAGTAGTTTAACTTGAAAATTTCTGAAGTTAATTATCACTTGTTTATTCAAGCTATATTCTTACCGTAGAGACATTTCATCCAGTAAGCGTTGGTCATCATGGGCTCTGTGTGAGTGGTCCGGATATCCAGGTTATCAAAGATCCAGAATCCGTTCCGTTTGAAAAAATATGTTCTTCCGTTGAACCAGGTCATAGCAGAGTCCAGGTTATTTGGTACACCCACCCAGGAGTCGTTTATCTTGGCGGGATAACCCATATCCATCATATCAAATGCTTCGTTGTATCGCCAGTAGTGGTCCCCTGAGAAAAGATAGGTCTTGCCCGCATTCGCTCCCCACACAAATGCTGCATCGATGCTTGCAACTGAAAAACCAAGATTCTTGAATTGTTTAGAGATGGCTACAGGCCCTGATAAGTACCGCGTTCCTTTGTACACCGAACAACTGTAACAGACGGAGTGGACAATTACAAACGATTGAATTATTCTCAAGTTTGAACGTTCACACACAAAGCTTAATGCGGTATGTACATAATGTAGAGATGAATATAAAATTACCGAGCAATAAAAACTTAGAATTTACCGATGCAAAATTCCTACTGTGATCACAGAAATTTTGATAGACAGTGTAAACCAGTTAGTTTGGTATTGAATCACAAGACTTATTTTTTGCCTTTGAAGAACATAGTTTTGCCCTCAGATTGATACGCGGCATCAATGCCTTCAGCTGGCAGTTTTGGCCAATTCTGTTTTATAGCGAAAGCTCCTTCGCGTTTTCCAGACTCCCGAACAATCCAGAAATATTTGCCAGAAAAAAAATAAGTAATTTTGTTCGCATCAGCAAACACTGCGTCGAATGACGGCACGGAGCATGCGTGTCGCACTCCTGAATAAAGACTGGTATTGGTTGGACCAGTTTCGGGTGCCCCTGTTTCGACTTTTATTGCAGGCATGCCTAAAGAGAGGAAAGATCATGTTAACTTGACTTGTATACACACGCTGCCTGGTAGTAAATGCTCTTGAATGTTCTCATGTTAAACAGAACCAAGCTGAAGAAAGAGCTAGACTGGCATGCAAGTCTTATCGCCGTTTCCCTCCTTAAAATATTTTGCTAATATTTCGCCAAGCTATTCTTACCGTAGAGATAATGAATTCCTTGAACATCGTCTTCATTAAGACGTAAGTTTTCTTTAAAGCCAGTATAAAATGGATACATGACTGCATCTTTATATTTAGAATGATCCAGTCCTAGGGCATGTCCTATTTGGTGAAGTGCAGTCCAGTAAAAGTCAGTTCCTTGTTTATTTTTAGTTAAAATCCAAGTTTCATCGTCATCGAAATGGATATCTCCTGAAAGTCCTGTACACAGAAAAATCGACAAAGATATGAATGTTAGCAAACAAAAGATTTATATATGTCTTAGTATCATTTGGTTGAGAGGCTCACTACAGTTTTAACATAATATGGTGTCCCTGCAAGAGTTTATTTTTTCAGAACTAAAAACTGCATTGAAAAGGAAAAAGAATTTTTGAACATTGAAAACAACATTGGCTACCAACCTTCATTATTATGTGGATAAAATCCATGAGCGAGGGATCCACCAGCACCATCGAATGGATGACCATCATTGTGCATTCCAGATCGGAATCTTACGAGAATATCAGATTTCGGATCTGTACTATTGAAGAACTTTAAGCTTGAGATACGTTCCCATTCTTTGAAAGCCTTTTCTACTTGTTTTTCAACTTCTGACTCAGACATCGTGTTGTTTGGTCCTCCCTCGATCATGTACGTTAGTTCCTGGAAAAGAAAGGGATTTGATGAACCCCGAGGATTCGTGATCCTCAAATGCACTGATTCACTCTTTGTATGTCACGGAAGTAATACTGGGTTTAAATTTGGTTATAACGATGTATAAAGGTAAAGTTTTTTCAGTGGGAATGTAAAGCGAAAGAGTAAAGAGAAGTATAAACAGAATGAATCAGTGGATAAGAAAGGGATAAAGTTGAAGAAAACTACAGAAAAAAATATTTGAAAGCAGAAGGTAGAGAGAAGAGCCTGGGAACGAGGTTGCAGAAGATAAAGATAGGTCTACATGCTGTTATATTTTAATACTTTAAAAATTTAAAGACAGACGGACGGACGGACTGACGTACAGAGGGGCGGGCGGGCAGACAGACAGACAGGCAGACATCTACTCATATCTGTTTCACTGAGATCAACCTGCATTTCCAAATGCAAACCCACCTTTTTCCGCCAGACAGTTCCCTGGACAGCATATCGTCTTTTTCTTTTGGTTATATCGGATCTTCCAAAATCTGGCATTCCACATCTTGGCAATGCCATCATCCCCATTGTTTTCTCATCAATAATACCAGTCATCGGAATACCAGCGTATTGCTGAAACATTTTAATCCCCTCACCTAATTCTTCATTGGTAAGAGGTTGACCTGCCCTCGCGTCCGGCATACTGAGGTAACCAAGCCTTGTTAGGTAGTTCTAAATTAAATGAAATTAAGCAACACCATATTAGCATATTATCTAGCACCTTCAGCACTAAATTTTGAAATGATGCAATGTTATAATAACTCCAATGAAGCGATATATTTCGCAATTTTGAAGCTACCGCTTGACTTTTGTCCTTGGTGGTAAAATCATAAATATATCAACAAATACTTATCAAATACCAATTTGCAGTCAACTACAAACATACTTCTTAGTTATTGTATATTTTATCTAAATATGAAGTGTAAACGAGCATTCCTGTACACAGTTAACTACGATATAACTCTGAGAGAATATGAACATTTTGTGCTATAGAATACGTTGTAACCTTGCTCAATCGTTGTATATTCTGTTAATTTATTCAACGGTTCCGGCAATTTCTAGTAGACAAGTTTTATCCGGATCCGTCAATTGTCAAATATTCAAAAAATATTCTAAATTTAAAGTCAAGACTATCTGATCAATAGTTTAACAAATCACTTCGACTGAGCAATGTCAAGTCAAATGTTTCGCCCTGTTTAAAGCAAAGTTGTGACTGCATGTATATAACTGACAACTATAAATACCATGCATATACTAACCACTGCAGATACTCGATCGCGACTGGTAACTTTGTCACGTACTGGACTACCGTGGATAATCGTCCATAATATACAAGAATACAACACCAGCAGAACACAGGATGTTTTACACGCCATTTTTAAACCGATATTGAACTCACAAGCTGTATTAACACAGCAAATCACACAGGAACTTTAGTAGCTTAATTTATGTCAAACCAAATTGACGTATTAAGCTACTCACACTTCCTGCTTGGAATTATTTCCTATTGCAAAATCACTGTGACAGCTAGATGTATCGAATATTCGAATGTGGCGTATTTTTATACCGATTAATCTACAAAGACAAAGTCAAATGCATATATTAGCCAAGCGGTCAGCCCACTCTCAAGAGATCAGCATTACTTCTCAGCAGAGGGTAAGCAAATTCAACGCCATATATGGAGTTTTTTTCAACAAAAAGTAAAAACTAAGTGTTTCTGGTTTTAATGAGGCTATGAGGATGATATATCTCACTATAATCAAGCGTGTTCCTGGGCTTGTGTTTGGCAAAGATGTAGGTCGCCAGTTAAAAACTCAAAACGTGCTGCAGTATCGCAAGACTGAACTCTCAAGAACATTCGCGGCGTTTCTATGATGTCAAGCCACGCCGTTTCTTTGGTAGACCTAACCCACTCTCAGATATTTTTTATTTAATTAAGAAGTGTACTTTAAGCTATAGGGTGGTACAAGGAAGTTGTAACTTGTATCGAGTTGTATTGTCTTTAAGAGGCAAATTTTTTCAATGTCACGTATTTGCAATGAAAAGTGTTCAAAACCTAAAATCTTTAGCTTTATTCTCTAGTTTATAGAGTTAGCTACCATTTTAAATGCATCTGCCGATTGAGAAACATAAAATAATAGTTAAAAATTGTCAATTAAAATACAATTATCAACGATGCTTTAAAAGTGACGCTATATTTACAACCATATAAGCAAAACTTACTGAATTTCAGACATCATTTTCTCTTTGGCGTATCGTCTAAAATCTCTTCATTTTAGCATTATTTTACAAATAAAGCACTGAACATACTTTTTAAGTTTGTTTGCCGATTGAGAAACGTATCGAAAAATAGAAATTTTGAATTTAGTCATAACCTCAAGTGATATATTATACGCATTAGTTTTGAGCGCGTGTTACGTAACATACAAAAAAATCTCCTCTTAATTGTAAATGAAAGCGGCTCGTCTGTACGCATCCTCGTTCCCAGGGCTTCTCGGCTCCCTCGGCCTCGACGGCTCGAGTACAGAATAGGAAGTTATACCAGAAGCGTAACTCGAGCAAATATTTGTCCGCGTTTTTACAAGCGATTCGTCATCAATCACGCCATCCTGGCTAGTACAACCGGCACTTTGTACCTACCAAATCCTGATAAAAACTTCCGGCTGTACTAGCCAGGATGGCGTGGCCTGACGTGAGCGAGTTAAAATTTTCGTGGACGTCAAACAATAAGGGAAACGACTAGAGTTACGCTTCTGGTATAACTTCCTTTTCTGTGGCTCGAGGCTCTTTTTACACTGGCCGATAGTGCCAGTGAATAGCAGTCAAACACAAAATCAACCGAGTATAAATTAAACAACGAATCAAAAGTGTACATTTTGTAAAACTATTAGTTTAATATTATTTTTTATAAATTATTGACATTTTAAAATATTATATAAATATTATATAGTTAAATAAATAAATAACGTTAACTAACTAAATTGCAAAAATTAGAATATTTGTCTACATGCAGCCCCTATAAGTCAAGAACGAGAAAACGTTAAGATTAAATGTTTGTAATTGCTTTCCTATATAGATGTAAGTTGTTCTTTTCAGATTAAATGTAAAATTTCACATGTTTTTCATATGTATATTTCATATATCATATCAAAAAAAGATTTTTCAAAACATTTCGAACGCCATCACTTTCAATATAAATTAATATATATTTACAGACTATCTTACATTAAAATATCGACACGTTCTCCTTTTTTACACACAAGTTTGTATTCCTTGTTTTTTATTGTTCTTCCTGACAACAAAGGCGAAATATTCCATACAAACATAAAGTTGTATTTTTTTAAACGTTCAATTTCGCTCCTGCTGAGCTCAAAACGGTACTGGACGGCTCAAATAAAACAACGACCAATTATCAATAATTGAAAAGTGATGAAAAACTGGCGAGCAAAAGGATGAGAGGTGCAAACACAGTTGTTTTTAAGACGCCACTATCGTCCTTCTTTTTTGCATTAACGTCTGTCTCTTTTACAGCAACTTCGACTTTCTCATCATCCTCACATTCTTGACATTTGAAGAAAAACTCTGAACTCTTCTGTGGTCGATAAACATGCCATTTACGGAATTCATATTTGGAGAAGTTGTGTCCGCTAAAGAAGTACGTATTACCATCACTCCATGTCATAACAGCGCCGACAGGATAACGCACAGCTCCCCAACCTGCAGAGATATTCTTGGGGTAGCCTGGATCGATTTTTTTCATTTGCTCGTTATATCGCCAATATTTGTCTCCCTTGAAGAAATAGGTCTTGCCGTTTCCGCCCCAAATGAAAGCTGCATCCAGACGCTTTAACGTTAACGGGAGGCCATATTCCGTGATATATTTAGGACCTTCAATACGCGTTTTACCTTCGAAAACCCAGTACCTAAAACATTTCTTTTTGTTAGTTATCAGTTCCTTACTCAAACTCATGTATGAAGAATTGAAATCTATTTGGATAACTCTTAGATTTCTATTTGGATAACTCTTATATGAGTTCTAAACTAAACCTTCTGTATAGTACTACCCCTTATTGATCAAGTGTTACTAAAGAAGAAACATGAATTAAACTGACTAGAACTACAGTGGATATCAATATACGAGTTCTAAACTGTTTCTCCCTAAGGTCTGGCAAAAAGAATTGAACTTTTGCCATGTACAAATCTCCCCAATAATTTTCAAAGTTTAAATCAGTAAAATATCTTACTTTCTTCCTTTAAAGAAGACAGTCTTTCCGTCACGTCTTGTATAAACAGCCTGGACTCTAGGGTGAAGTCCTGGCCAATGATCCACAATTTTTTTTCCTCGTAGCGCCCTGTTGTATTTATCCAGCGTCCAGAAGTACGGTTCTTTAAAGAAGTACGTATTTCCGTCGCTGCTGTGGACGACCGCGTCAAATGATGTTTTACAAGGACTGGGATCACTGCATTTTAACGAAGGATCGATTGTTGGAGGTATAGTGGGATCTTGTTTCTTTCCTACAAATTTAGAAAACACAGGGTTAGAGAAAAACGATAAGCACAATGGTGTGACAATGGTGGTCAAATGGCAATTATTATACAAGGAGAAAATAACGTTAGAGTTAGATAGATAGATAGATATATAGATAGATAGATAGATAGATAGATAGATAGATAGATAGATAGATAGATAGATAGATAGATAGATAGATAGATAGATAGATAGATAGATAAATAGATAGATAGATACTGTATTAAGTTTATGAAATTGCAGCTAAAAAGCTGAATATGTTTACTGAACCATTGTATATGAAACTGTTTTTTAGTCTATTGGTTTTACAGAAGCTGAGAGCACTGAATTTACGCTTATAGCTATTTCGTAATACGTTAATGATGGATTCATTGAGCTCAGGCAATAGGTCATGTAGCTTGTGAAAGTACAGCAAGTTTCCTCAGACAGATTAGTTGTCAAATATATCCTGCGATCATATAGCGAAGACAGGCCACAAATGAATTATTGTCATTATATGTATAGTAATAGTATAGTCTTGTATTTCGAGATGAAGAAATATAATTAATAGAAGTAGTTTAACTTGAAAATGTCTGAAGTTGACCGTCAGTTGTTGGTCGGTAATGCTTCCTGTAACCCGCCAATAACTGCAGAGTTTAATCTTAAATGTTACATGATAAGAAAAACAATTACCATATTTAGCCTCTATTGCCATAATGTCATCTTCGTGTAGTTTCAAGTTAGCTTTAAAACCAGTATAGTATGGGTACATAATGGCATCCCAGTACGTTGAGTGGTCCACTCCAATAGCATGACCGATCTCGTGAACTGCTGTCCACATGAAATCCGTACCGACGCCGGGTTTGTCTAGCGTCCAGTGCTCTTCGTCGTCAAAATGAACGTCGCCATCTTCACCTAAAAGTATTATACGTATTTTTAATAAATAATGCATATTCAATAGAGATAACTTACTTCAGGCAAATATATGGCTTAAATGTTTGAAGCTTTTATACTAGTAGACTATTGTTTGGGTGTTTGTAGCTGACAACGGTTAGTGTGTGTGCCTTTCACCAGAGTTTCCATCCCTGCAATATGCAGTTGGCTGATTATAATTTCACCTCAGTCACATGTGAGAAGAATGCTTCCAGTTTGACTCCAACAAACACCATAGGTTTTCTCTGAGAGGTACAGTTACCTCCTGCAGTAACACTGGACCAAAAAGGGACAACCCTTATACCAGACATCTATTTAGAACTGATAGAGCAGTCATTAGAGCTATCCAGTAAAACGTTAATTTAGAATATAGGAAAATATCATAAGCATTACAAGACTTATTAGGACTTACCAACATTATCGTGAGGATAGAACGCATGCGCAATCCTGTTTCCCTTGCCATCAAAAGGATATCCATCACCGTGACTACGTGCTTCGAAGCTAAGCATAATATCAGCCTGTCCGACATAAATCTCTCTGAATGTAAGGGGCGAGACTTTGGTCCACATGTCGAAAGCTTTGCGTACCGTGGTTTTGACCTGCTGTTTAGTCAGTTCCAATGTAGAGGTGTTTAAAACTCTGTATGTTAAATGCTGTAAATGAAATTGTGAAATAAGTTATTTATCAGTAATTTCGTTGTTTGCTATTCCAATATTTGGTTTGCTTGATATCAGTTAAACGTGAGTCAAGTGTAGGGAATATTCTTCAATCAAAGCTGCCATAGTTTGGGTCTGAACTACGTGGAAAGATCCAAACCACTCTCCGAAGTTTTTCATGATGGCCAGGCCAGTCTTTTATCAGAAATTAACTATTACTGAACGTTGAAACGCTGCATGTCTAATTCCCATGAAAGGTTACATGTCTTTAATAACATTTTAGGAACTGTAGTTCCAACACAACCCATGGTCAGCTTTCTGATTTCAGAAAAAGAAACTAGTATAGAATTTTAGGCCATATACGAGAACAAGAGTTGATGAGAGTTGACTGGATCTCTCAACTCTCATCAACTCTCTTCAAAATTTGAACCAGTCCAAAGTCAACTGAGAGTCGATGAGAGTTGGCGGTCAAACGCGAGGAAGAGCTGCAACTCTTTTCAACTCTCATCCTCATTTGACCGAGGTTTTAAACGTAATATATCTGTACAACTTACAAGTTTTTTCCATCGAGAATCATGTAAAGCATATCGTTTTCTTCGTCTCATCCTGTCACTGGGTCCAAAGTCAGGCATGCTACATCTTGGTTTCTTAATCAGCTTCACTGTCTCTTCGTCGATAATGCCTGTCGCTCTAAGTCCAGCAAACTGTTGTAGTTGTTTAATTCCTCTGACGAGATCGTCTTTCGTACGAAATTCACCCAACGTCGGGTCTTTTGGCTCAAGGTAGCCATAACTCATCATGAAACTCTGTAGAAGAAGAAAATTTAGTATTTTGAAAAATACAACAAGTGTAACAAATATTTTAAATACGCATGTACGTATATATAATGTGTGTAAATGTAAAGACGAAAAGTCACTGCATAGTGGGAGGTGGGGGGGGGGGGGGGGGGGGAGCAAATGCTGAAATACCACCATGTACTGCAAGTGCATTTGAAATTGGTCAGCATGCGCAGCACCATGTTTAAACCCTCTCTATCCAAAATTGCCCACGTTTGATAGTAATTGCATAAAATCGTTGATAATAATGATTAATTTTAAACTATAGTTATTATTCAATTCATCTCAGGAACTTTGAGACGTCAGCGTGAAATTTATTATCGAATATTTATCGCGCATGTTCGCTTTATTATCCTGTTATTTTCCGTTTTTACACAAAGATTGGTATAATATACACACTCAGAAGACTGAACACGCCTTGGTGGATCTAGTGGATTATCCTGACGCAGGATATTCCACTTCTCTGAGTCGAACGTACAGGAAGAGAGGGTATAAGAACATAGGAAATGATGAAGAAGACATGTTACGTCACATTTCAAAACAGTTTTTATTGCAGATCTTCTAGGACATTTAACTGTTTACCATCGGATTTACGTCAATCAAATCTCTCTATTAATCAATTTAAATGTATAAATCTCTTTAAACACTTTCAGAACTAATGTCTGAAGAAATTTATGACATTGGTGTGCCACAAACTTTCAAAACAATCTGTGTTAAATGTCATTCATGTCATCCCTTGTCTAGTCTCTCTGTTAAATCGTGTTGTCATTAATTATCACTTATATCAGCTCTGTGCGTATAACCTGTCATTTATCTGACAAAGATTGTAAAAAAATAATGTTTGTGCAAACGTTAGCACGAATTTCTTGTACAAAGCTGTGTCCAAAATTATTCATTCCACTAGGCATCTTTAATCACCATTTAGTTTCGTACCACAAGATGTGGCACTCATCAGATAAATTAGCCTATAATTAATTAGCCTAACTTAAAATAAATTAGCGGCTTAATAAATGTATCCTATTATGCTAATTTATCTGATACGTGCCACATCTTAGTGGAGTTTGTTCATTATATGCCATATAGCCAGCCAAGCCAGGCAGCATTGTTGCAAAGCAAATTTCCCGAATTTAAGACTCTAAGTAGAAAGTTAACCATCATAACCTGCGCGGTTAAAGTTTCAGCTAGATTTTTGAAGGACAATCTTTTTTGAATTGGCTGTATATATTGGCCTATATTATATATATAAGGAAAAATTTGAAAAAAAGCGGAAAATGGCTCAAGTATTTTCAAGTACCATGTCAAAACCCTCTTGACGAAATAGCCTCGTGATACTATAATTACAATAATCTTTTATCGTACGATGCTGACGTTTTGGCGACAACCTTGGCTCTTTCAAGATTAAAATACGACATACTTGGCAACGGCTCAGCATTGTCCGAGCAATTCAACAATTTAAACTATGCATTACTAATTTGAAAAAACCCCCGCTCTAATAACAGTAACAATGGTAATATAAAGATAACTAAATCAGTTTGTTTTTACATTTTGCGAACTTGTTCTTCTTGGTGAGTAATGAAAACTGAAATAAGCGTTTACGAAATTAATTTTAAGAAGTCAACTAAAGTGCTATACAAACAAAACTATCAATGCTGATCACCTCGCGTGGGTAGATCATAGTTAATATAATTATATTAACTATGGGTAGATATATAGACAACGGATGGGTAGACATATAAACAACAGATGGCTAGGTGGGACAGCATTAAATCTTCCTCTATCTATATTATTACCGCTGTTTTACAATACACAATCATGGTTAGTTTCTATTGGAGGATTAAACTTTGCTAATTAAAAACGGTGTTTCTTTTTTACCGTGTATAATTAGGTTTGACCTTTCCTTTGACGAAATACTAATCTTGAAGCATTTGATAAAAATTCATTCGCTTACTGACAGAGAAGACTACTATTATAGATTGTTTTCACAATCCGTCTGACGTTTTTTTGCTGAAACAATACTCCATATAAGTATAAGTATAACTATAACGCAAAAATCGAAAATCATTGAAAACATATGAAAATTGAAGATATGACTTTGCTAAATATAGCCTATCGTCTTACAACGAAATGCCTTTGGCACTGCGCACATAATATACTCAATATTTTAATAAATACAATATATAGGCATATTTTAACATGTTTAGATGTTCTAAAGAAAGTTATAAGTTCAAACCTACCACAACATCAGACTGTTCTTTACCGCTTATTCCCGCAGCAGCGGGACGAAATCGCGGAAATGAATGAGCAGAGTCCAGTAGAAATAACGAGACCAGTGCCAGGAGCACTGCACTCATTTTATGTGCCATATTTGACAAGCAATTTGTTGTTGCAATCCTTGAATATTTACTGGAAAAGAACGTGTCAAGAATTAGTTGATATAAAACCATTATCATTGTGACATTAAGACATAATAATAGCACTTGAAAATGTTGAAATATTGGCAAAAGAGAAACACTAGTTGTGGTTTGACGTATATATAATGAAATGAAACTTTTATTTAAGAGAGAAAAATGTATGCTTGAATGAATAAGACTCCTTGTCCTTGAACTCTACTAAATACAAATGTTAACAGAAGAAGAGTACTTACTTAATTCCCCCAACAATTGAATTGAGCAGTTCTTCACTTCAGAAGCGTTCAGTGTAATGTGATATGTCTAAACAGTTCGGTTGGGTTTTATATACACAGTGAAGGGTCAAATTATGCTTCGTCTTCCGCTAGTCACGGCATGGTGTCTATAAATGCGCCTCCACAACTCATTAAAATTGCAAACTCAGCGTTGGCACGACTACGGAAGCAAATGAAAGGACAGAGAGGGGCGGAAACCATGGCCCTTTCGTATCATCGCGTGCGTTGACCTTAAAACAATAGATTGCCTGAACTCTTTATATGGTAACTGTCTTTCATAATAAAACTTGAACAAAATTGAACATCGGCCAATGGCTAATCAACTCACATTCAAAAGCAAGCGCAAAATGTAGGGGGATTTGTGTATAATATTGAAAATCATGTTAAGTTTTATATTATCATTACAAACAAGCCACTTGTGAGCCAAGTACATCTTCACTTTTCATCTCTTCCGATGACGTGTATCTGATTCTAACTTTAAAAAAAATATTGGCAAAAGAATTTTTGTTTTGTGTAGATTGTTGAAATTTCACGAGTGTTATGAAACATTCTCTACATTTGTGACGTATATTTCATCGTTTTTCTGTTGTTTTGTCGTTTTTCTGGCTACCACCAGGCAATTGTACTCTTTTTAGAAAATATTCTCAAAATATTGTTCTACTATAAATTAATTGTCACTTTCTAGAACAGATCCTTATAGGTTAAACATACACTTTACAAATGTTTGAAAATTGGTTAGCGCATGTGAAATTCTAAAAATAACGTTTCATTCTGTCATGCAAAAGGTGACTTCAATGACTTAGAATTTTTAATCCAATTAATTCGTTCCACAGTCACACAAAACTATTTCATGACGTTTTAAACGAGCAGAAATAATGAAAAATATTAATGAATCATGGATGCGTTGGTCTTTTCTAATGAACAATTGAATATTCCCATAAATCCCATAATGCATAAACGTCAATACTGGCCAATATTCTCTTTTTTTAAAGTCTTCTTCTGAGTTCTGGAGTATTCTCTTTATAAAATTTCCTCTTATGCTGTTGGAATATTCTAATACTAGTAATATATAGGATCAATATTTTAGCCAGGTGGTGGCTTATTACATGCGATCCGAGCAGAAACTCTATAAATTACATTTTCACTACAAAGATCGATCTGTTAGGTTAGGTGAAATAAAACTGGCTTTTTTGGAAATATAACCATCCATATACCTCATACTGCATGCATGCATTGGGCACTCAGTTTGTCAGCACATATGCGCTACTAACTTCCCGGCGATGGGCTTTCGCTCGAAAAAGTTCTCCTTGTATTTTTCAAGTAGTTGCATTCCTATCAATCTGAAGCTTTCTTATTATTGCCACTACCTACAATGGCACAGACCTCGGCACAGTCCGCTGGAATTATATCAATTTGTATCATGTACAATATTCTTGTAAAAATAAACGTACATGTCATTGAAAATGGATCTTACCAATTCAGTTCGTCTGTATATACATAATCCCCGTGTGACAAGGAACATGTATTGGCCTTTACTCTGTAAAATTTTGGACAAAATTCAGGGAAATATTGATAAGAACGAGGAGAAAAGCACGGACATGCGACAGTTATGCTCTAAGTTGACTCGCTCGCCAGGATGTCGGCTGCTGTCGAAGAGTTCCGATTACGTTATTAAATAAGGTTCATCCTGACTTAAAAAAATTGCCGGTAAAAATTCTATCAATGAGGTAATGCAAATGAGCTAATATTCCTCCCTGTTCTATAATTCAGGAACTAAGTTCAAAATTTGTGACTTTTCAATTTCCACACATGTGAAATTCTCGCGTAGCTAGTCGAAGCAAGGAAAGCGGAGTTCGATAAGTTTATTTGGAAGACATGTTAGTTTGTCATAATTTTGTATTTAAAGAGTAAATTAGACGAAAATATGTCTTTCAAAACCACAAATTCTTCCATGTTCTTCTGATGACTGATGATAATTTCTTCCTTGAAATTTGCAACATCATGGTTCGAATTATTAAAGTATAGAATTGTTCCTATGGCTATGAACTATATAAATATTTTTCAGTTGTTCCCATGAGCTATATAAATATTTTTGCTTAGGAGAAACTGTGAGAATATACCTGCAGTTCACTAATATCAGTGGCCTAATTTTAACAATTATAGCCATAGACATAGAATATATCATTCGAAAAACGCTAAATTACTTGAGTTGACCAGACAATAGTCTTTTGAAAAACTGGCCATTGAAAATGGTCATTGGTAGTATAATTTAAAGATTTTAAACTATAATATATTATAGGCCTAAATATATAAAAAACTACCAACGAGGTTTTGAATAAACATTTTCACGTGATCAAACTCGAATATTCTCGCCCATATTGGTGTCGTCGATTCTGAGCAAAATAGATTTCGTGCAGCACTGAAGACACGCACCTTGACCAATTATACTCCAATTATACGCACAATTACACAACAGTTATGAAGACGATTGGAATTTCTGGAGAAATCCAGTTCGAAACTGAATTGCCAATTTTAAATTCGTTATACTTTTAATGAAGATACAAATAATTCTTCTGGAAATGCAATCATAATATCAATTGACAGACGAGATTTATAAACACAAACCAGATCAAACCTTAATTCATATTGTGGATAATTTATTTTAATTATATGCATTCGCAAACATGTAATTGATACACTTATCACACAATTATAACCCATAATTGAATTAATTTTTTTTCTAAAATATTCTTTAATCAAATGTTTTTTCCATGATGTTGGCATGCCACACAAATTTGTTTTTTAAAGAAAAATCTGCAATATATTTGTTTTTTGGTTCCTATAGTGATGAAAGATGACGTTTTTGTTATTTTTCTATAGTTTGCTCTTCACTGACAATGTGGTATATTTATTAAACCACGGTTAAAATATTAACCGTGATCAAATCATATGTCCAAAAATAAATGTAACATTAATGTTAAAGGTAACAATTTGACCAAGAATTCATGTGAAATACAGTCAGGTATATAGAAGATAAACTTAAAACGTGCAGTTGTCCAATGTAAATATTGATGTGGGTAGCAACGTCAGCGATAACAAGCCAGGTGTGGATTGAAAGAGATACAATCACCTAAAAAATACAAGCAGAACTTCGATGTTTCGAGCAAAGGCCAGAGACGTGCTGGCTAGGGACGAGCCGACGAGAACTTGTTGTGGGCCCTTGGCATCATGGGCCCCTAAAACATTGGAGAAGAAATATAGATTTTAATTTTGAAAATCAAGATTAAGATATTACAATTTATATTTTAAAAGTCTAAACATACGAAAATATTATCGAAAAATTTAACAAATTACGGTACATTTATTCGAAAGTTACTACGGCAGAAAAATGGTATGTCCTGAAATTTTATCCCCCCCTCCATTAATTAGTGACTGAAATGTTTCATGTTTGCATGTTTGATCAGTAATACCCCCCACCCCAATCTTTATCCATCCGTCATTGGGCCTGGGTCCCATCAGACGTTGCTCATTCGTCGTTCTTTTCAAGACCCCAGCACGTCCCTGGCAAAGGCTCTTCGTCGGGAAGTTCGAGACGTCGTTCTTGCTTATATTTTTGACGCAATGCGACTCATATCCATTGTATACGTATGTGGTATGCGCACGTCTTTCACACCTTTTTACGTGCATATAACGGGACATTTAAATTCCTTCCACTACTTTCGCTTAGGTATAGATATTATAGATAATCTACACAGGACATCCAATGACCATGTACATGTTTGCTAACGCCCTAATGTTTGTTTCATGTTGTTCTGGGGAAGTTCTAAGAGATATGGCACTATAGTTCCTCCGCCTTCCTCGGAACTCGTCACAGAAATAAATGACGTCATCTGGTGACGACAGAACGGACAGATAATGAAACAATGTTCCAGCGAGTTCAATATCTATTTTCCATATTTTCCGCCAGACGGCTCAATATCACTTGCGGTGTTGGTAAACGTTGCCCATGTGTCTAAGTAGGTTGTGGGGTTAGTTCGTGGGATGTCTCCATTCTTCTCAAAGAAGGATCTATCGTGAAGATGTGTCGGGATCGAACGCTGCAGACACGGATTAGGTCTCGAACACTGAACAAAAGCACAAACAGCATTCAAAGACACCCACAGAGGTGGGAGTTTTTTAAGGTGCACGGCAATGTAGACTAGAATGTTATTCCGATAAGTATACAAAATCCGTGAGAATCATGTTAATGAAGGTTTACCAGTAAACTTTGAGCACCTTAATTGCCGGTTACTTTGCATGGGTCCTGTCCTACTATGTTCATGTTTATTTTTTTCTCAATGTTATTTTATGGTTGTTTCAAGTGTTAAATGAAATTTTTACCTAATTCAAATAGAGGGCACTCGAGACTGCATACCTCAAATTAAGTTATGTACATGCATAAATTATA